AAGAGGGCATGTCAGTAATTAATAGAAAACTCATGGGCCTTTACGGCCAATATTGGTAAAATCGTAGGGTGTTTTTGTCATAAAGAAAACGTCATTATCATTGGGGCCCACACTCAGGTGGGGCGCCCGCTTCAGTTTCAGAAGTGACAACGCAGGTCACCGAAAGCAAATAAACGAGTAAAGGACAAAAAAAAAAATAGATAAATTAAATAAAAAATTATAAAGTGAATTAACAGTATATTGTTTAGTATTCACACCCACAACAGTAGCTGGAAATTGGGACTTTTACTCGGAAAAACGGTGTAAAAAATGGAATGTTTGATTAAATTAATTTGTTGATGGGGAATTTAAGAAGATGACTAGACAGGACGAGAACCAATCACATGGCTTTTGCTATTCATACAGTGGACTTGACTGGACGGCCATGAATACCTGTTGGGTTTGTAGTATGAGAGAGAATGACCATATTACCATGAAATTATTACAAATTGGCAAAAGCACCCTATGTTTATCTGAATGCTTCCTTACCCTTATATTTTTTAATGGCTATTGTGTCCTTCATGGTGAATTTTCTAGGTCTCTTTACCTATTGGAAAAAGTTTATATAAGGTTGTAATTTTAAAATGTAGAATTACCAATGCACCTCAACAATCCATCAGATAATGTTGTTTTAATGTTGAAAAAATCTCTAATTGATCATCTCGACATCGAGATGTCTGAATATGGAAAAAAAAAAAAATGTGTGTCCCATATATAGTGCATCTTGCAACACATTATCTAAACCGTCAATTTTCAAGATTTTCATATGTTTGTTGATCTACTTGTTTTTAACTATTTTTAGAGTTTAAAATTTTATAATTGGATATATAAATAGATATTAAGATTATAATTATAAGAAATTTTAACACCAAAATTGCATGTTATGATAAAAATATGGAGGTTTCCCCTTAATTAGATTGTTTAAAGTTGAGACCTTATAAAAACCGCACCCTTATCTATTATGATAAAATATGGAGGCGCGCCTGAATTGGATTGTTTAAAGTTGCGACCTTATAGAAACCACACCCTTATCTATTATCTAGTTAAGATAATGTGTTAAAACATAAACATACACTCTCCAATGTGAAACAACTCTCTCTCTCTCTATATATGTATATATATTATCTACTTCGGATAATGTGTTAAAACATAAACACACTCTCTTCAATGTGAAACAACAACACTCTCTCTATATATATATAAACTCTCTGTCTTAGGTCAAAAGATACTATGAGAGAATATTTTCTCCACTCAAAATCCAATTTAGGAGAAGTTTTGTAATGTAACATCTTCAACCAAACAAGGACTTTAAATAGAGGAAAAATTTAAAATGCACCCTATATATGCCGTAAAAATAGTGTCAAGACTAAATAAACTGTTTAATGACAGTAAAATCTAAGTTTAAAGTTCAAAGATTAAAAAAAATCCAGTTAGCTCAAAAGAGTAAATATGGAGTATACTCCCACAACAATAGAGTAGAGTAAATATGGAGTATACTCCCACAACAATAGAGTAGAGTAAATATGGAGTATACTCCCACAACAATATAGTATATACGCTTTTGTGAGTGTTAAATTAGAAAGGGGGCCAAAGGTTGCTAAGATACAAATCTCTCTGTCTTCTAGGTTGGAACGACACTTGGGGGGTTTTCTTTTTTTTTACGCGGCACGACCCTTGGGGGCTTTTTGTTTACGTAGCACGACACTTTGGGGGATTTTCTTTTACGCAGCACGACACTTGGGGAGGGTTACGTGGCATGATACTTGGGGGGTTTTCTTTTCTTTTACATGACAGGCCACTTGGGGGGTTTTCTTTTCTTTTACGAGGCACGACACTTAGGGGGTTTTGTTTTACGCGGCACGACACTTAGGGGGTTTTCTTTTAGGCGGCACGACACTTGGGGGTTTTCTTTTACGCGGCACGACACTTGGGGGTTTTCTTTTAAGCGGCATGACACTTGGGGGTTTTCGGCTTTCTTTTAAGCGGCACGACATTTGGGGGTTTTCAGCTTCTTTTACATGGCGCGGTCACTTGGGGGTTTTCTTTTACGCGGCACGTATG